AATTACAAATTCGACACTAATTCTGATTTAGGAGTTTCTAAATCAACACAATTGCAAAGCACTGGGCGTTGTGTACATCCTTTGATATACGCTTATTAAACACAAATCACAGGCTTTTACTGAACATGATATTTTGTACACTATTCACAGCCTTTGAATGCCTAAAATGTAATTATATTTTATTGCTATTAAGAGACAGCAAAATATAGAAATACTTTCTTGCATTCTCTCTCTCTCTCTCTCTCTCTCTCTCTTTATTGCTATTCAGACGCTGAGATAGACTGAAGCGTCGGTTTCCCTATCATTAGGACTATTATTATTATTACAATAATCACAAACACATATTTGTAACGCATATATAATGCATATATAGATTCGGGTCTTAACTCGCATTCTTGTATTACTCTATTGCCGATCGCTGTATAAAAATGTGTTTTAATATCATATTCAGTGGTTTTAGCGATGACTGACCAAAAAGGCGAGCAAAAGCGCAACTCCTATACCTCGGCCTCTAATATAATTGAAGGCAATTTCATGGACTTGACTTCTGATGCTGATAATAGCATAGGCCTGAGGCCACACATGTCAACCCCCAAACCCTGGCCTATCATCCAAATAATTTTAGCCTTATTTCGCAGATAAATACAAGATTAGGCTTAGGGTTAAGCAAGCTGTGAGTTGCGGGCCATTTGGTTAGCCCTGGTATCATTGATTTAAATATACCGCTATATCCCTGTCCTATACATCGTATCTGTGGATGACATCCGACACACAAAGAGTGGACTTAAAGACCTTAGAATTCATTTACTGTTAGTTTGATTCTTAGACTTCGAGAGATGATTATAAGTAAAGCATTGACTTTTAGGTGACAAAAACCAGTCTTAAAGTCACTATAAAAGTTACTTTAAAATGGCTAAAAAGGTGCTTAAAAGGTGCTCAAAAGGTGCTTAAAAGGTGCTTAAAAGGTGATAAAAAGTTATGAAAAAGTTAGTTATTTTGCATCAAAATAATTCATTCAAAGATCAATAACATTCGTTTTTGAATTCAATTGTATCACAAAGTATATAGTGAGGTTTTTTGTTTCAAAAGTCATTCGTCTGTCGTTTAACAACTGTTTATGAGTCGAAAAACGTTTAATGACTAAAAACCATAGCCTGTTATGACTAAAAACTATGACTTAAAAATTTTAATATTACATTACACTTCTGTTTCAAAAGTCATTCGTCTGTCGTTTAACAACTGTTTATGAGTCGAAAAACGTTTAATGACTAAAAACCATAGCCTGTTATGACTAAAAACTATGACTTAAAAATTTTAATATTACATTACACTTGTTTTCAATTTTGACTAATTGAGTATTTTGTGATTTATCAATTTATAACGTATAAAATTTGCAAAATAGGCGAAAAGTTACTTAAAAGTTACTAAAGGTGCTAACGTCCCAAAAGGTGCTAAAAAGGTGAAATAAAAATCTTCCAAAATACTCCTAATGGTGCTTAAAAGGTGAAATAAAAATCTTCCAAAATACTCCTAAGGTGGTATATGGTGTGCCCCCAAACTTTCAGGAGGTTCTCCGCTTTCGGAACAAAAAGTTATTTAACTTCAAATCAATGCTTTAATTATAAGACAAACGATCCGCTGATTGAAGCCCAACACATACGCTGAAGGAATTGGTGTTTGAATGTCTAAAATGTTTGACAAGAGTTTCAATTAAATATTGTTAGAAATGAAAATATTCAGAAATGTATTATTATTACAATAATCACAAACACATATTTGTAACGCATATATAATGCATATATAGATTCGGGTCTTAACTCGCATTCTTGTATTACTCTATTGCCGATCGCTGTATAAAAATGTGTTTTAATATCATATTCAGTGGTTTTAGCGATGACTGACCAAAAAGGCGAGCAAAAGCGCAACTCCTATGCCTCGGCCTCTAATATAATTGAAGGCAATTTCATGGACTTGACTTCTGATGCTGATAATAGCATAGGCCTGAGGCCACACATGTCAACCCCAAACCCTGGCCTATCATCCAAATAATTTTAGCCTTATTTCGCAGATAAATACAAGATTAGGCTTAGGGTTAAGCGGGCTGTGAGTTGCGGGCCATTTGCAGAGCCCTGGTATCAGTGATTTAAATATACCGCTATATCCCTGTCCTATACATCGTATCTGTGGATGACATCCGACACACAAAGAGTGGACTTAAAGACCTTAGCATTCATTTACTGTTAGTTTGATTCTTAGACTTCGAGAGATGATTATAAGACAAACGATCCGCTGATTGAAGCCCAACACATACGCTGAAGGAATTGGTGTTTGAATGTCTAAAATGTTTGACAAGAGTTTCAATTAAATATTGTTAGAAATGAAAATATTCAGAAATGTATGCAATTATTGCATCAGAGGACTGGACCTCACATGAGTTCGTGTAGAGAAGTAGATAATTAAATCAAAATATGCGGTGTTTTTGTGGTGAACACCACGAGTAGGGAAAGAATGGCCATCAGTGCAGACATTGCGAGAGAGAGAGAGAGAGAGTATGGCGAGAAAACGAGAGAAAAATTGCCCACAATTTTGTAATACCGTTCTGTAGGCATATGTATGTATCGTTCAGTTTTGACACTTTTGACACTTGAAATAATATACTACCTCACATGAGTTCGTGTAGAGAAGTAGATAATTAAATCAAAATATGCGGTGTTTTTGTGGTGAACACCACGAGTAGGGAAAGAATGGCCATCAGTGCAGACATTGCGAGAGAGAGAGAGAGAGAGAGAGAGAGAGAGAGTATGGCGAGAAAACGAGAGAAAAATTGCCCACAATTTTGTAATACCGTTCTGTAGGCATATGTATGTATCGTTCAGTTTTGACACTTTTGACACTTGAAATAATATACAGCGGCGATGGGCAGCACCTCAATGACGGTGGTATTACAGACCCCCCGAGGCTTATCTGCCGTAATAATAATAACCAGAATCTCTGCTCTTCTCTACCGCTGCTCTTCAATACAAGTCATTACAACACACTCTCTATGCATCTCTCTCTCTCTCTCTCTCTCTCCCTATCTATCTATCCTTAACCACTCGTCTCTCACTAGTTCTGAGAAGTTTTGCACAAATTTTATTTTGTTTCCCAAATATCAGAACATAAGATATGAATTTATATTTTGTCAAAATTATTGCCAAATAAATTGCGAATGCATTGCAAAACATGTATTTTTACCGATGAATTGCTATGCATTGGTATTCCTATGAAATGCAATGTATTGTTTGAGAAGTGGTGTTCATGTTATGCGAGTTGTTTGATAGCATTGGACTAATAAAGTTTGGGATCTTTTCGGCTTTATATACACCAAACGTGTAGGAAATGAAAGATTTTTATATTTTATTTATAATTTTTTGATTCTTTATTAGAAGAATAAGTTGTAGTTTTGAACTTAATATCACACTTAAACACAATAATATTATACTTGTTATACCTGTCCATCAAATTGATGTTTAAATGCAAGAAAAAACACATTTTTTCCTCACATAATATATGATATAAAATAAAGAAAGAAAGAAATATTTTCTCATTTCTCAGTTCATTCCCCAAAAAGCCCTTATAATTAAAATCAAACTAAAAATAATTAACTCATTTTAAGTCTAAAAATTGTTCACAAATTCCGACAAAACTAGTTGAGAGAGAGAGAGAGAGAGAGAGAGAGAGAGAGATGCATAGAGAGTGTGTTGTAATGACTTGTATTGAAGAGCAGCGGTAGAGAAGAGCAGAGATTCTGGTTATTATTATTACGGCATGCTTGTTTAATGCCCAATCATTGATTGAGATTAATTAATATAAATAATCAAAATTCAATTTATATTTCCAGTGATACCAATCACTCGAATGCGTCACTAAATATGTAAAATCCTATTAATCAAATCATAACTCAAATAACACTCTAACAAAACTTCGCACAAAACTAAACTACTCCTGGTTTTTGTCGGAACAAAACAAAAAAAACTTACAGAAATATATAATGAAAATTACGAGTTAACTAAAAAATATAGTAAATAAAAAAGAGATCCCTTTAAAGAGATTCTCGCGAAACCAGTGATCCAACAATTTTGTGGCCGATTAGCGAAAAGTGAGTGCCTTTTAAACCAAACTTTTATACATAAACACTCAGTTTGCGGGCCGTAAGAGACGGCACTTTTTTCTATAAGAGAGAGAGAGAGAGAGAGAGAGAGAGGCAATCATTTACAGTAGAGATATATAACGAAAGGAATTCAATGCAAAACCGAAACATCTTTTTCTATTTCTCTACGCTTTCAGAGACGATGTGTTTGCAAATGAATGTAAAATTATATTTAAAGTTAAACACAAAATAAAACCTAAACTATAAGAAAAATGAGAGGAAAGAAATAGTAATTTTGTGGGTAACATATGAATGATGTGTATATTGTGTTGTATAGGTTTGGTTCAGCAATCGTAGGGCCCGTTGGAGGAAACAGATGGGAAGTCAGCAGTTGAATGGCTTTTCGGCCGCATTGGCGACACTGCCAGCAATGCACGCGTACTCCTCGTCCGCAACCAATCCCTACTTGCAGTTCGCGGCGGCGGCTCAGGTCGACCCCAACCACTACTCTAACGCATCGCAAGGTTTGTATGCATTTTACATCATATATTCTCTCCATTCCCTGTGTTGTGATAATCCGCGCAAACGTTGTGCAAATGTAAACACAGGGATGCGTTCCGTCTTCGCATTCACATTACATAACACTATCACAATTTAATGCAAATTTCCTGCTAAAACATACCGTACACTATAGGGGTATTTGCAAGATATATACAATTTTAGTTTTTTTTATAGTTTTTCAGACATATTAGTTGTGGTAAACGCTTGTTTTAAATGAATATTGGTCAATAGTAGTTTATTAGTTAGAATACTAAACATATTGAATTTCATGCACACAAAACGAGCAAGATTAACTTTAATAAATATGGACATTTATATTACAAAAGACTCGAAAATTGTATAATTATATTCTTGATAAGTATGAGAAGTAATATATAAATAATTTATGAATTATAATCTAATTAGTAAATTAAAATTTAGCGCAATTACAAATGCATGTATAAAAATAGCATGTTCAAATTATTTACTACAGTATATGCATACATACTGTATTATACGAGGGCAGAATGCCAAGCAAATGATGGTTGCATTTACATATGTTGTAACTTATAAATGATCAGTGATTGCTATCAATGGCATTGATTTTATAGTGACTTTAAGACTGGTTTTTGTCACCTAAAAGTCAATGCTTTAATTATAAGTATAGGAAATCCAAAAGAGATTTCAAAACCGTTTCTTATGAAGAGGTGTTTCCCCAAGAGAAGTTTCCCCAAGAGAGGTTGCACTGTATAAGTCACTTAAACACTAGTGGATAAGTTTAAATAAAATAAAGCAAAAATAGTATAATCCAATATATAGTAACAAAATATTACATTAATTGCTTTATGCAAATATAAAAATAAATAATAAAATTATTTAGTTATTATAACAAAACAGTTATACTGTGTTTTAACATAACGTTATTTAGCCAAAAAGTTTGATTTAAACCAGTCCAAATTTTGAATTTATAATTTACATACTCTACTGGCTACAAATGTCTGATCAACGAGATTTAAACGATAATGCTCGGTCAAATTCTGGAATTACCAAGCCAGGAATCGTCTTTAAAAAAGGTACATAATTCTGCTTTAATTTTAATTTGCTAATTTTTTATTATTGTTTCTAGCTACACCATCGCCATTACCTGATAATAGATACCACTCAATGCGAATGATAGGGCTCAGGTGTGATGACATAATGAATCAAATGAAACTTGGTCTGGAAAATGTAAAACACTTTAAAGTTAATGAAGCTGATAAAATTGGTAACGTACATAAAGTTATCAATTTTAACCCCACACTACAGGCAAAGTCAGAAACCAAATAGTTTTAAAATAATAGTATTTTAAACATTCGTATTTTTAAACATGCTAAATATTATTTTTATTAAACATTGTTATTTAAAATAAACATGCACACTGCCTAAAGTGTAATTGTTATGCATTCAAAAATTGTATTGTATTTAATTAAAGTTTTTTTTAAATAAATTGCTAGTTAATAAAATGACAAATTAATAATTAGTTAACTTTGTTATAATTAATTAATTTAATATAAAGTTTGCACTTAATGTATTTCTTAAATCAATTATTTTAATACGTTTGAGTTTACTTTTAAATAATCAATTAATTGATATCATTGACTACAAAGATAATTGAGAATAATGAATATACGTAATATAATGTATGCACCTTTATATTAATATTTATCTGGTTCTTATATACTGTATAACTGTTTTCCTAAACATTTGATATTTTCAAAAATTTAACAGAAAAAACAACCTGTTTTAAACGTCCATAATGTTATAAAAGATCATATTAATTAATAATGGGAAACATATTACATGGATCATCCGGATGTAAATTAGTGTATAATGTACTTTCTATAACAATAATTAAATGTATTTAATCCTATGCTGTTATCACATAACCTAATATAGATATATTTTTATAGCGGAGCGGCGCCTGATAATAGACTGACCATGGTTAATGGAAGGATTTATGTATTACAAGCAAGTTATTTAAATACAAAACAACTAATAAATGAATCAACAATATCTGAACAACAAAGGATGGATTATCTAGATAGGTTGTCTGGTTGTGAGCAATTATTCGCACCACATAAAAATATATCACGCTCAAAGTTGGACTTTTATGAATCACAGTTGAATTCTGTAAGAGTTTCTATTATACTCCTGAACTCACAGACAAGATATTTAAGAGATGGCTCGGAATAAGTTTTTAAAAAATATATAATTACAATTCCCTGTTTATTTTACATAAAATTTTGTTACACAATATTAAGACATTTTAACAATAATGAAGTTATTTTAACGACAAATTTACAAAATTGCTTATATTTATTACATTTACATAATTCTTGCATTCAAGAAATTTAAAATTGATAATAATTCTTGTGTATTGTTTCTTGTATTAATTTCATAAGTTATGTTATATAATTATCTACTTATTCTACAATGCATAATTAAATTATTATTGTTTGATATTTACTGTTATTTACAAGTTGTAAACATACAATAATGCGTAATTGTATAAATGACATGGCAACCGATAATAAAATTATCGCTTTTATTTACGTTTAATTTATTATAACATTGAATATGGCATTTTGTTGTTGACTCTTAAATAAATAAATGTTAAGTATATTTTCGCTTAATTGTGCTTAAAACCAAAATTAAATAAAATGGACTCAATTTTACAAACTTGTTATGAAAACAACAACTCTATTATCAATGACATAAAAATATTTCACGTTTTTGACGATAAACGGGGATATAATGTACTGTTTGTGACAAACAATGACTGCGTGTATGGGTTGGGCTCTAACGGCGGCGGATCACTGGGTTTTGGGCACAACCTTCCCGTCCGATCGAAACAACTTATACCACAATTATGTGAGAAAAATATACAACAATTCATAACTGGCGTTGACTTTGTGATGGCTATTACTGATAATAATACGGTGTATGGTTGGGGTGTTAATGACCATGGGCAATTGGCTCGACTACCTTGTTCAGATCAGTGTGTACCAGAAGTTATTGAATTTTTCACCAACAAAAGTATACATGAAATTTGTTGCGGTTATTATCATTCACTAGCGCTGACCAGTGATGGCCGGGTATACGCGTGGGGACAGAATATGTTTGGCCAAATAGGGTGCACAGACGTTGACCATGGTAGCGTATATGTTCCCAAAGAATTAGGTTTTAATGAAAACTGCCAAATCAATAGTGTCTACTGTTCACTCTACTCATCATTTGCCATCACAACTGATGGACAGGTGTTTAGTTGGGGTCGAAATCATTGGTACAATTTGGGACACAATAACTACAACGTGTGGACACCCAGTATAATACCGGGTGTTTGTAATGTGCAAACTGTGCGCTCAAATGGCAATCAAACCTGTTTTCTAACTCGCGATGGTTTTGTGTTTTTTTGCGGTCAATATCATGAAAATGAATTAAGCTTGATGCAAAAATTACCAATTATAATACCAAGTTTAAATATGTGCATTGAATTAGATCTAGTTCTTTCACGTTTAAATAATTTCTTTGAAATAATTGCTAAAACAAGTGATAAATTATTTAGTATTATATCTCAAAATGATGTAATTCTTACCGAATATAATAATATATTAAATTATTGCCTTGATGAATTTCAAGTAACGCACAAAACAGTTAATTTGGATAAACATAATGAATATAATTATGAATGTATTGATAAGTACCGTGACAAATGTAGTAATTATTTGCATAAAATGTTTGAAATAATTCGACAAATAGCCAATGGTAAGTTAAAAATAAAACAAATATAATAAATTTTTATTTTTTAAATTAACTCTCTAGATCAAAATGAAACCAGAGGTTCCCTATCACCCAATGATTATAACAGACTTTTTGAAGAATTAGGTAAATTAGGCTCAGGATCATTTGGTAAAGTTTATAAAGTTAGAAAAATTAATGATGAACAACACTATGCCATCAAAATCATTAAACTTAAAAGTAATATTAAATATTATTTTATTATTTTTATTGATTTTACTTTCGTATTATTGTTTAGTTAAACTAAATTCTGGAGAGCACGATCAATTTTATGCAGAATTAAACCATCTAGTGACTGTCCGGTCTGTATACGTGGTCAGATACATAGACTCATGGTTTGAGGGAAATCTATATTACATACAAATGGAGTTGTGTTCGGATAGTCTTAAAAATATTTTAAAGAAAAAACTCGACGTTTTTTCACGAGAATCGGGACAACCAATGAATTGTGTCGAGTATTACATATCGTGCGAAATATTTCGTGAACTCTTACAATGCGTTCAATATCTGCATGAATTGTCGCCACAAATCATACACCGAGATCTCAAACCTGACAATATATTGGTCTCAATGAATGGGTCAAATAATAATAGCCACTATTTTAAACTATGTGACTTTGGTTTAGCCGCTATACACGATAAGAATACGTTTGAGTTAACCGGTGGTAAACACTCGGCAGGTGTGGGAACTGTTGGCTTTCAGGCCCCGGAAGTTTCCCGTGGACTGCCCTACAACCACTTGAGTGATGTGTTTAGTTTGAGCAAGATTGGCGAAATTCTATTTGATCTAGATATTTCTGATGTGGATCCGGATTGTCCAGGGTTTGTCTATAATTTTGACTTATAACAAGTGTTGTACATACGTATATTTATTGCATTTTGATTATTATGTCATAACCTTTAGAATATATTCATCAAATGAAATGTTGAATAAATCGTGGTATAATTTGGTAGAGGTGTTGGCGGAGATGTACTCGACTCCCCGGTGGGAATCGCGGCCCGAGTGCTCACAAGTGTTAGAACAATATAACAAATGGTCTATTGATAAAAATACTATAATGAGTGATAATGTCGATTACGAATTAATTTTAGGCATGCTGAGACAAAATGACTGTAGATTTTTCTATGAATTCCTTTGTAATAAATAATTACTTAAATACTTTTAAATATTTATACATAAATGTTTAAACATATTTTACTGTTTTAGGAATTATTTTGTAATAAAATATTATACTTTTATTTATATTGTATTATTTTTAATAATATAATAATTACAGATTATAAATATTAACATGTCGTTTTGATAAATAGATTTATTATGTCAAAACATCACTATTCAATTGCTACAAATTGGTTGGTAATAATCAGGATGTCCATGATTACACAGATAAATAAACATAATGGCTGCAAATAATGTTAACTTATTTCTTTTGTTATAGTTAATGTGTCATAAAAATAACACAATAATTTATAAACAAACAATTTAGTTAATCGCTTAAAATGGGACAGGTCACTCTATTTTCGTTGGACATATCTGGTAGTATGTGTGGCACGAAGGGTGATATTTTACGCGCAATTACTTCCAAACTGTTGTATATTCGGTGGCATTATTTGCCTAATAGTAAAGTGGGAATTAATGCGTTTAACAGTGATTCATATGTAATACGTAAAATTGAGGCCATCAGCGATGATGATGATTGTTATTATCTTAAACAATGTGTGCCTTTGGTTGAACAAGGTGATTGCGACATTAGCAAAGGATTGTTGGCTGCATTAGACACTTTGGACAAAGCAGATGTTTCATCTGATACGGCAAATATCATTATGGTCACCGGTGGCCAGAATAACATTGGCGATTCTAATTATTCAACTGAATTACAATCTAGATTGTATAAATCAAAGGTAAAGTTTATATTAAATAAGTTTTAAATAATTAAATATTTATTTATTTTTAAATTACTGGGTTTTTTATTTTACAAATTGAAAATTAATATTGTAATTTACATATTGGTTAACAGTTTAATTAATTACCATAGAGTCATAATTAATTTTGTCTAGGGCCGAACTATATTATACAACACACTATTAATATCTGAATTATGGTTTAAAATAATATTTATAAATCATAAAGAGAATTAAGGCTTAATAATCAGAGAAAGGCTTAATTTAATTGCAATTATTTTACCAGGTGAAATTAACATTCATCGTAATTTCGAAACACAACTGTAATTTAATAAATGGCATTTCAGACATAAATGACGTGTCGGTACATTATATACCCGATATGGAAACGGAATACCGAAATATTTTGCCTAAGGTGTTAAGAGCTGTAATAAAAGATATTACCCATGATTATACATCAATATTGCCCTTGAGATCATGCACAATATTTGAGACAAAAGTTATATTTAATTCTGACTGCACCACTCAAAGTATACCTGTCCTAATTGATCCGGACGTTGCCCGGCATGGCATTAGACTACGTGTGAACGGATGCCATCACAACATGTTTGAAATGTAGTTTCTCGCCGTACAGTTTCGTTCGCCATCTGGTCGTACGTACGATAAGTTTGTCGTAGACCTGAATGAATGCGAGCATGGTGAATGGACGCTCACGTTGACCAAGCTCGATTTGGAATATAAAATGTTCCAAATATTTGCCAATGTTTTGATTTATAGTTGTTTCAAAAAACCACCCGTTATCAGTTTAAAATCAGTTGAAATAGTACTAACAAAATCAAAATTACCATGCATGATTGTGGCACGATTAGACAAAGGGAATATCCCAGTTATTGGAGCCCAAATTAAGGCAATCGTGGATAATTGCATTGTGGATGATGAATTATGTTCAAAAGTGGAAGTGCCTTTAAGTTTATACCATAATAATGGCTATTATTATAGCTATTTAAAAGAATATTCTAATAGATATTCTATTAATAGCACAGTAATAGCAAATAGTGACGGTGACAACACAAAACACAATGGTTGGTTAATATTCGTTTGATCATGAAACATTCTAATGTTGTTTATAACCTAGGCAAAATTACGGAATGGTTTGCGAGGCAAATCCGATCTACTCGGATAAAGTTGCCATATAATTCCAGGTCCATTCAACCCAATTGTAATTTGTTTGAAAGTCTAATTGAGGATATTTCAAAATGCTTAAACGTGACAATTGAGGATGAAGCAATAAATGCAATGGAGCTCGATGTACAAAATGAATATGTATTAGAAAGTTGGTATTTTGTTAACTGTGAAGTAAATTTAAATTTTAACACTTATCTACTGTATATGCTCTAGGTGCATCGCCCGATAACAGACAAATTGTAAAGCGTATTGAACAAAAGATTTTGGCTAGAAAATTAGAAGGCCTGCAACTAAAATACAATATAATAGTTGTCTTGATTAAAACATCTAACTCAAGTGCTGTAGACAAAAATGATTACATGAATAAAATTGAATGTGTAGCTCAATTTCTAAGCGCATCATCGCATGCGAAAGAGGAAGATGTTTTAAAATATCTTATGATTTTAGATGAGGTTAACAATAGTCTCATCAAAATTGATTAAAAAATCAATGCTATGCCAAAGCATAAGCAATGGCAAAAATGTGTTGTCCTTTAAAACTGAAATTATTTAATTATTTGTATTATTTTATATTATAATAACCAAGGTTATAAAGTATTAACATGCTAAGGAGAGTTACAATTAATTGTTGATTCTGTATATTTATCAAATAATATAATGAATAAATCGTGGTATAATTTGGTAGAGATGTTGGCGGCGTTGTTCTCAACTCCTCGCTGCGAATCAAGACCCAAGTGTTCACAAGTGTTTAAACATGATAACAAATGAACTATTGATAAAAATATTATAATTAGTAATCAAGTCAATTACCAATTAATTTTTAATTTAGACAAAATTTATGTACCGGTACATTTTTTTCTATGAATTATTTTGTAATAAAACTACATAATTTTAATTGTCGTAGCATTTTTTCGTGGTAATTTGATAAAAATATTGTACATTATTATTCTGTATTTGTATCTAAAACGTTAAACACTTGTCTACTGTCTTAAATAATAAATCTAGGAAAAGTTTTAAAATGCAATATAAAATCGTTTTAATTAATCAATTAGCTTAAAATGAACACATTCGTTAAATCTACAGCCAATGGCTAAAACAAACTGTTTGATGAATTATGTAAATTGGGCTCAGGATTATTTGGTACAGTTTATAAAGTTAGATGGTTTAATAATAAACAGCACTATGCCACAATTAACATCATTTCACTCAAAAGTAATCTAAATTATTATTTAATTACATTTAAGTGTCATTAATTTTATATTGGTACAGCAAAATTAAATACTGAAGAGCATGACCAGTTTTAGGCGAAAATAAATCAGCTAGTTACTATCAGTATAATTACCAAAATATGGATAAGTTACGAACAAGATGTGCAAATTATTTGCAAAAAAATGTTTGAAATAATGAAACAATTAGCCCATAGTAAGTTACAAACAAAACTTGATAAATTCTAATTATTTTAATTAATTGTCTTGATCAAAATGAAACTCCTCTGTTCCTCCATGTCCAATGATTATATCAGACTGTTTGAAGAATAGGGTAAACTGGGCTTAGAATCATTTGGTAGAGTTTATAAAATTAAAAACTAAATAATAAACAACACTAAACCATAATGATCATTAATTGAATTTTAATTATTAAAATTAAAAATCGTCATAATTATTATTTTATTAAATATAATTAAGTTTATTATATAAAATAATTATTGATATAAAAGCTCGACTAAAGATAAATTAGATTAAGATTACAAATAACAATGATTTATAATATTCTGGCAGTATACTTTGCATAATTTAATAAGCTCATATTTCAGTGATTTGTGGGGTTATAAAATTATGATTTAAGTTTTAATGATAAATATATTATTGATAAACTAGTTAATTATTAATGATAACCATTTTTATTTTTTATTTAAATTATTACTTACACAAAAAGTTACCAATTAGTAATGTGATCAGTTTATATAACTCCATCCCTCTAATAATTAATGAATTTTATTGTATACTTAAAATAATTAAAACAAATAGACGGCACCACGTGTTTTAAAAATTCAATTAGTTATATAATGTAGAGACCAATAATTAATTACAATAGTAATTAATAAATTTTCATACTATTTAAAAATTTTGTTGTGATTAAGCCTTACTAAATAAATATGAATATAATTATTATTGTAATGTTTATTTCTCGTAAGTTTATATTGTTAATTATAATTTATAATCATTATTTGTATTATAATGTATAATATAATTTATAGACTATTTATATTATTTTAGTACTAACATAATAATCAGTCAATCGTAAATAGTGAACTAGGTGGTTGACTGCCTGCGAACATCCAGGTAGAAGTCCACAGTCTGGTCTAGCACTAATTCCAGGCGTGAGGCCCCTAAAAACAGTGTATACTAGGGTTACTTTGAAAAAATCGTAAATAGTGTGCATAACTAATAATTAAAATGGAGTTTTAATTAATTATATTAATTAATTAAATTTTAAATAAATAAATAAAATCACAGATAATTTT